CTGGAAATTGAATAAAGAAGATGGAAATTAAAGCTGGTATTGAAAACGAAGCTGTAAAAAGTGGTGTTCTTGAAAGAAAAAATACAGAAAAAATAATATAGAGAAAAATAATTAGGAAGAAGAAGATGATGATGCTGAATGGCGTGTCCCTGATCTGCCTCTTGGATTTTGATTTTATTGTTATTTTTTTAATTTGTTTGAATAATATTTTATTCCACTTTTTCCTCCAACAACTCCAACAACTTTCTAACCACTTTTTGACCTTCTTGCCTCCATTGGACTGCTTCCAAATCGAGTTGGACCTCCTTGAATGATGGGCTAGACAGCTCAGCAGGTCCATATGCTACTTTAGGCCGTATGTTGGGTCGCGAATGACCTTGGGCTGCACCTACGCTGAGCCGGCCCTAATTAATTATTTGGGTGTGTACAAATGCCCCCCACAAACTTATCTAGACAAAAGTTAACTTGTAGTCAAGATAATTTTGTTAAAACTCCTTCATGTTTGAATGGACTTGTGCGCGCAAGTTGTGGATCTCTCATCACAGTCACCTCATCCGCGTGGGATCGTGCCCAACACCAAGGTCATTTACACCTCTAAGATCACCTTTTTCGCTGCTATGTCCACCTTCTGGTTACTCACTGGTAGTCAACATCAAAGATCTGCGTTCGGGAAGGTTAATTTCTGCTTATTCGGCCTGTCCAACAGTGTTTTCACCTTCCGTAAGGTCGTAGTCAACCACAGTCTAATGGTGCCTTCCTTCCAGCTCCGAAAGAGAATGATAGAACCTTTCTTTCATTGATAAACGTCTTCAACTCTTCCTCATCGGTCTCCATCAACCTATATGCGCCACTAGATGACTTAGCCGATACAATAAATGGTCCTTCCTATGTAGGGGATTTTTTCCCGAGCTTCGCATATTTGGGACCTTACGGGAAGACGCCCTTCCACATAATGTCACCTTCCTAAAAGGTGACATTATGTGCTTCCGAAGGTCGATTTAGTCTTCCTCTTTTGATATCAAATGAATTTGAGGGCTTGCAATCTCTCTTCGAGCAGGGCATCAAGCCCTTGCGGCAAGGCCGACTCCTTCTTCTCAACATCCAGCAGGGCGCTGATCTGCGTCATCTGAGGAGCTATTTCGTCCCCCAAGTTGACCTAATCCAATGGATCATATGCTTTGAAAGGTGGAGTAGCCCTTCGAATCAGAGAATAAACATCCTTTTAGCCTTTATCGCAAATAGGCGGCAAGGGGGATATCCCTACCTGCCCGCCGAGAGGGTCAGCGGCATGATTTTTAGCCCATATGAAAGGACATCTAAACCTGCCTGCTCTTGCCTCCCAATCCTGTAAAATCATGTCATCATTCATGATGAACTGACGAGCTGTAGGGTCGTGTGTCGGCTTCAGTTTTAAGGCAAAAGTCTGGTAACCTTGACCTTGAAGTCATTCTCGAAATTTAAAGTTTGTTCAAGGTCTTGATCTGTAGCAATTATGTCCAAACTTGCTTTTGATATCTCGTCGCGAGCGAGTACTCTGATCATCAGCTCACCCACCGGGGTCTCTATTGTTCCAAGTACTACATGGCCCTACAAATTAACAAGACAATCATTGTTAAAATTTTCTTTTATAATCTAATGAAAATAAACTAAAAAAGCAATTAAATTAAGGGAGAACTAGCTATTAAGGGGATGTCTGTCTCAAGGCATGATTCAATTATGAAACTTGTGTTTTATCATTGATTCAATAAAGTTTGTTCTTATTAAAGTATCAATAAATTGGTTATAGTTATCAACAAGCTATGACAACCAATTTTTCATTACAGTGTAGGTAATTAAGGTACAATTGTTAAATACCCCTAATTAAGCTAATAAACCTAGATGCGCCCATACGAAATATTGTCTAATCGCATTCTAATCTAGAAAAACCCAATTCAAAAAAATCACTACCTAAGAGGAGCAATTAGATTCGATTGTCTAACCCCCATGAAGGAACTATTCAACCCGGTTGTCACCTATTCAACTGCGAATACAATTACGGATATCCTACCTGAATTGACTTTATATTATCAGACTAATTTAAATATCGGTACAAAAATATCCAATCAATCTAACAATCACAATCATTATTTTCAGGATTAAACAAATATTGATAATAATAATAATAAAAAACTTTTATAAAGAAAATCAAGAATCTCCAAAACATAAGAACCAAAACATTATCATCCCACAAACCAAACAAGCATCTACTCCATAATCAAATAACAAAGAACAATAGAGAAAGATAAAGTCATAGTGGGAGAGGAAATCTTCTCTGTCGATTTGCTCATGCGCGATTCATGATTTTGTCAGTCTCCTGCTTTTGTGTGTATCTGCTCTGGCCGTTCTCCTCCTTTTCTGCTTGTGATCCTCCTTTTTTATTTAATTTTTGCCCTAATTATTTTGTAGCTGGGTTTTTGGGCCTTTAATTAAATTCTCATGCCATGAGGGTATAGTTAGTCATGGCCATGACTAACTAGGTGGTGCAAATCTGAATTTTTCTTTACTTTTTCTGCCAATTACGCCAAATTTGATATTTGCCCTCTGCACACATCAAAAAATAAACAATACACATATAAATTAGGTGAAACCCAATCAAAATCAATCAAATATTGCATATAATATGAACATTTAACGCATGTGATTTCTAGCTATCATGAGGGGTGTAACCATCTTACTAGGGCATTCAAGAGGACGAATATGGAACAAACCAAAACATCATTCATTACGTGGCATAGTTGATGCAAGTAGTTATCTTTATTTGTAAACATCCTAGAGTTTTCATCCAAGTTTGGAGGAATGCAAGAAGTACATTCAAATTTGTATCAGCCTGGAAGTTAGACTCTTATGTTACCGTAGAAATTACACAATACTATGTTCACAATCATAACATTGATTGAACAACAAGTCCAATGGTATATAATATATTATTTCTATGAATCTCTATATGTAAAGCCAAATGCTACCTAAGAAAAGGATCAAAGTGTGGAACATGCTTTTATTTTCGAAAACAATGTCTACAGATATATATAAATAATGACATACCTTGCGCGAAGAGGATAAATAATGCTTGGAGATTGGAAGGGTGACAGGTACCGACACGAGCAAAATGATTATCTTATGCAGTATACGGAAGATTGGAGTGACCGGCAAGCTGCGGTTGTGATCAGCTACCCAATATTCATAAACTCATCTTCTCTGTAAATTATGATACATTTATAGATGGAGACCTTGAAAAGAAATGGTGGTTTTGAGTGAGGTGCTTTTGCACTATTGTGTGATAAAATAGATGTGAGTCTTATAATTATGGTTAGTTCCAATCTATTCTCCGGTGAGCTAAATCTTACATGAATATTTTATTCAGTGACATGCATATTTCCACACACAAAGCAGGGAATCATAGTGTGCCGAGCTGAACTGCTAAGATAAATAGAACTAATTAACCAAGCTACCAACTAGTATAAACTAAGTAATTAGCTAGCACATAGATTAGTAAGTCTGAATAATGCAAACAATTCCACCACAACAAGTTGATCTACAATAATACAATTACAAGCAGGCCGAAGCTAATGAGATTCAATATATCATTCAATTAATTCAAACAAGCAAATCTAAATAATAATATAACAAAACTCAACAACACATAGCAGGGCTAAAAAAATATAGGCAAAACAAAAAAATAAATAAATTACAGCGGCAAGACATCAAACATGAACAAATCGTTGGAGAACCAAGTCTAATATACTATTGTATTAACAAAATCAAACAACACACTATAGGGCTAAAATAATCTAAGCAAAAAAATTACAGCATCAAGCCATCAAAGTAGAACAAAACTAAGTCTAAGAAATGATGATAAGTTAAATAAAAATTGATTAATCAACAATACATGAGGGCCTATTATGATAAACTAAATTTATGCTACATGAAGAACATAGAATAAAATTAAACACAATAAGAAAAGTAGCAATGAAAATTAACAAAAACAAACTAGGAAATGAACGAGCAGTAGAATGTACATTTTGACAATTAATAGCAACAAACCAAATTGAATTAAGTAGACATGCTTGAGGATAAGTTAATCCAATACAACAAATGAGTTAGTTAGCACTTGTTCCATATTTAACAAGTTAGCGGACAATCTAAGATATATCAATAAAATCAACTAGCTATCCCTTTCATTAAACTACCAAATTTAATCTTAAATATTATCCACATTACTATTTAAACCATTCCCAATCATAGATATTGTAGAAATACCTCACAAAAATGGAAATAAAAAACAAATAGTGAATTACCTTTCCAAAAAGAACAACAAGACATATTGTGTAACTTAATCCATTGTCAAACAAGAAGACAACCTAAAAAAAAGAGCATCATTGTCAGATCGGTATGTTTCCCTTACAAGAAAAGAATTTTCAAAAGCCTCTAATTCAGCCAATATGATTGACTGCCCATGGCCTTAATTTCATTGAGTTAATCATGTTTTTCTCACTTTCTTAAGGAAGTTCTACTCTGAAATGATCTTATTTAAGGGTTTCTTTGAATAATAGTGACAACTCTGTTAATAATGTTGGATATTGTAGTATATCTTCAAAAATAAACTAATTTAAAATAAAACCAACATTCTTTACAAGATACTTCTGCAAGTGCTTCATGATGTATGACCATGATGTGAATATCTACCAAGAAAAATCATTCTAGAACTTGGTTATTTCTAGCCATAATATTAGGGGAAAAAAGAGTTAGAAGAAGACAGAGATAATACGCAATACTCCTGCACCTACTCAATTATCTCGGGATCACTGTCAACACACATTTAAGAAGAACTTCCAAATAATCAACAATGTTGGGAAGATAGCTACAAAACAAGCAATATAAAAAACAAAACAATTTCAAGGTTTTACTTAGTAATCAATATCTCAAGCAAACCTGAACCTAATGCCTTAAGCACGTAGGTTAACCAACCTCATGTTCAAATTCTTTAGTGTTGAATCAACTTAGAGAACCATGTGTCCATATTTCGAAGCATTTACCTAAAGGGAACAGGATAAAATAAAGTCATACCTCTCATCACCACCAGGCACCAATAGTATACCAGACACCAAAATGAAAAAAATTGTGCTATTCAAACACCACGAAGCTTAAAGAATATGTGATCAACAAAAATTACTAGGGAAAGAATGACATTAACTTCCTTTATCCAAAGTAATCAACTTACGGTATGAAGTCATTTTGTAGATCTCTTGAGAAGGTGACAATTAAACTAGACCATAAAAAATGCAATTCATAGTGTATTGGGGATTTTACTAGCATACTGGACAAAAAGAAAAAAAAAATTGGGGATTTGACAGTTCATAAACTTCATCACGGCATAAAGTGTATTGAACTGAAAATGTATCATGTAATTCAGAGTGCAACCCATATATATAACACTGGAAAGTTTAGAGATCAATGAAGCTTTATAAAAGATGAGCCCTTTCATAGAGATTTAGTGCTATGAAGCTTGTTAGGCTCATCATACATAATACAAAATATGTGTACTAATAATGGATTCTCGATTTTTTTTTAAAAAAAATGCATAAATGCAAAGCAACATGATTTTACTTGATTAACTGCTATAATAATGTATTGGTAACAACCCATTAATGAAAGAACATATGTTGAAAGCAAAACCATCCAACTTTATATTTTTGGTTAACTAAACAAAATTTCAGCTACCAAGAATGAAGTATTACCTAAAAACATAATCAGAAGACAAGATTCCCAAGTGTGTCACTGTAAGGGTGCCAAGAAATATGTAGAGTCCGCACAAAGTAGTTATTATTTTAATGAAGTAGTGTTATGCGCCAACCGAAATAGCCTGTAAAGAACTTGAGTTAGCAATGATAATTGTGACTGTGTAATATATAATTAGTATGTAACATCATCTTCATTAATTCCATTCAGCACAAGGGACTCTACTATGCTATAGTAAGCACTAATCACAACGACTAGAATAGATTATTTTATATCAAATAAGAAGATACCCAAAACAACACAAAGCATGGTCTTCAGTTCACAATGCTTTAAACATATATACATTATGTTATTTTTTTTTTCATTTATAGAATAATAAAAACGTATTGCATAGTGTTCTTTCCCTTCCTCCCCACTTTATATACAAACATCAGCCAAAAAACAATCATCGAGATAAGATTTTTTGGGAAGCTTTGGGTAGAAGTTTTGTGATTCTATGATGTAATTCTCTCGGGACATTGAAAACCTAAGTGGCAGAAGCTTCATTCATGAAATTTTATAATATGCAGAAAAAAAAAAACATGGAAATTAAGATTGAAGACAATAGCATAGGACCATCAAAATTTATGAATTAAGTTTCAGATCATGTCTTAAAAAAGGAATATCAACACCAAAAGAAACATGAAATCATTCAAAAATGTATATAAGAGAACCAATTCGAACAAAATTCTACTCAATCAGGGCAAAGCACATAATACACGTTATTAAAATAAAAACAATAGACGATTGAACTAGCCACATAAATCGAAGAACACATAAATCGAAGAACAAATAAATTAGAAGGGCTTACAATTAAAAAATGGCAGACAACACAAACCTTTGGGGATAACAGCATATAGTCATCTTTTGGATCAGAACACTGCAGATCGGAGGGCGTAGACAAATGGTGGAAGCCGCAGTTTGGCTGGTGGAAGACGTTGTTGGTCGGAGTTGGGGACGGCGGTGCGAGGCAACGATGGGGCAGACGAGCAGCTATGTGCGAGGAATCACTTTGAGGGTGTAGTTGGGCTTCGGTTTAGGATATTGGATTAGGGTTAGGATTTATTTTTAGTTTTCTTTTAACAAATAATAATAATAATAATAATAACAATAATAATTTGTAAATTTTTTTCAAAATCGTTAAATGATTTTAAAAATTTTCTAAAAATTTGAAAATACTTTTTAGTGCTGATTTTTTATTTATTTTAAATATTATATGATTGTGTTTTTATTTAATTTTTTTAATAATATATTTTTATGTTTTAAAAAATAATTAATTTTTTTAATTTATATTTTAGGTAAGATTTATGAAAGCGTTTTCATATTTTTATTTTTATTTATTTTTTAAATAAATTTATTAAATTTCTAAAATAACTTTATTTTTTAAAATAATTATATATGTTATATAATAATCTAATATATTGGTAAATATAGATATGCGTATGTATATATTAGTGTAATATTTATGTATTATATATTATATATATAATAGATGAAATCCTGAATGGAGGGTGGAAGTATGCAATGAATGCAGGGGTAAAAGGATTGTGAATTGATTTTTTATTTCCTCAATTCTTACATGTATTTATAGGAAAAATGATGAGAATGAATGTATGGTTAGTAATCATGACAACAAGGCATCCACACTACTGTTACATATACATTACATAATGAGTTTGTAATAGCTACGTGTATAACACTCCCCCTTGAATGTCTTTGTACAAGGAATGTGCCTCGTTAAAATCTTAATAGGGAGATAAATAACACACCCAAAAATACATAGATGGGATATATTTGGTTCGTTACCAAATACTAATTATATCGGGGAATAGCTGTGATAGTTTGTCAATCTCATTCTTATAAGTGTTCCTGCATGTAAGATTGCATGCCTCCAAGCTGATACGGGCAACACAGACCTCATCAGTAATAGTCTAGAAATCAATTGCAATAATTTAATAAGTGATTCTGCCAAGCCATTTTGTGTATGAACATGAGCAACTGGGTGCTCTATATTAATTCCAATCGACATACAATAATCATCAAATACATTCGATGAATATTCAATAAAGCAGGATAGCATTTTTCGCCCACATGTTTGAATTTGAGTATTAGCATTATCCAAACATATAGTATTAATTTGATTATCAGGGAATTGTCCCCGTAATTTAATAATTTGGGTAAATAATCTCGCAAATTCCATATTGTGAGTAGATAATAAACAAATATGTGACCATCTGGTAGATGCATCAATAAGCACCATAAAATATTTAAATGGCCCACATGGTTGGTCTATTGGTCCACATATTTCCCCGTGTATTCTTTCCAGAAATGTAGGTAATTTAATACCTACTTTAGTTGGCGATGTCTGGTTATCAATTTTCCCTGAGTGTAGGCAACACAGGTTAACTCATTTGATTTTGAACACTTTTTGGCCTTTTAATGAATGTCCATGCGAATTCTCAATTATTCGTCTCATCATTATACTGTTAGGATGCCCAAGGCAATCATGCCATATTTGAAAATCGATAGTCTTTTGATCTACCGTGAGGTTTGCTTCAACAACACCTAATCTGATATAATATAAACCAGTAGAGAGTGAGGGTAATCTCTCAATGATGCAATTTTTTTATCAATGATATTGGTTATCAATAAAAATTCACCATCAGTATCTTTAATAGTTTCAATGTGATAAACATTTTTCTAAATGTCCTAAAAGCTTAGTAAATTTCTTCGAGCTTTAGTGGCCAATAGTGCATACTGTATCACAATTTTCGTCCCCGTGGGGAGAAATACAATGGCTTCTCCAGAGCCTTCAAGTAATTTTGCACTGCCACTTATTATATTGACATTCATTTTTTCCCTTCTCAAATGGGAGAAATAATTTTCGTGTTTCAATATAGTATGTGTTGTTCCACTGTCAATGAAACATATATTTGCCTCATTTTGTTTGGCATCCATTCAACCTTCAAATATAAATAAACGCAAATATAAATATTACAACATACATTACAAAAAGGTAGTATGCGATAATTTAAATATTACAAAATATAAAATAGCAAAATATAAAATGACATAGTATGTCAGTCACTGGGGGTTTACTGGATCTACGACAAAATCCGCTATATCAAGATGCGTTGTGTCGTAATCCAGAAGAGCATCATCGGGGTCGTCATCATTATCAATGTGATTAGTCTCGACCTCCTTCCCTTTTTTTTTCTGCAGTGAGGTTCGATAAAGATCGCGTAGGTGTTTGGATGTTCTGCAGGTATTGGCCCAATGGCCTTCAATGTCACACTGATTATAAATGTCGATTTGTCTCTTTCCTTATTTAGCCTTTTCGGCTATATCCCCATATTGGGTTTACTCTGCTTCCTGTTAATGTCAAAACCGCAGTGATTGTAAAAGGTATATCGACCGCATTGACTCTCACGACCACGACCACATCCTCGGCCTCGTTCAGAAAATATCACATTCGCTTCAGGAAACGGATTGGAACCAGTGGGCCGGGACTGATGATTTTTCATTAGTAACTCATTATTTTTCTCAACTAATAAAAGACATGCTATGAGCTGTGAGTATAGAAAATAGATAGTATAAAAATAAAATTTACCAAAAATAAAATAAGCAAGAGCCTTCATGCTGAGAACGTATTATAGAATAATCTAATATATTGGTAAATATAGATATACGTATGTATATATTAGTGTAATATTTACGTATTGTATATATATAATAGAGGAAAAAGAATGGAGGGTGGAAGTATGCAATGAATGCAGGCACATAAGGGGGGGAAAGGATTGTGAATTGATTGTTTATTTTCTCAATTCGTACATGTATTTATAGGCAAAAGGATGAGAATGAATGTATGGTTAGTATCATGCCAATAAGGCATCCACACTACTACTACATATACATTACATAATGAGTTTGTAATAACTACGTGTATAACAATATTCAGATTTTTTTAATATATAGAATATTGAAAATTGACTTATTTGTTACGGCTTGAATTGCATAACAAATATATATATATATGATGATATTCCGTCCAAAATGTAATTGTTACGAATAACTATCAAAATAAATTTTTTTAAAAAAAATTTTAAAATAATTCTATTTAGATTTTCTAAATACATAGAAAATTTTAAAATTGACCTATTTGTCACGGCTTGAATTACGTAACAAATATATATGATGAAAATCCGTCCAAAACATAGTTGTTACGGATAAATTATCGAAATAAATACAAAAAAAAGTTGACCAATCATTAAACTTTTTTGTCGCGAAAACTTTCGTAACAAAAGACACTTTATGTGACGAATTTATTTTGACAGACTACATATCGGCTACAAAAAACGAATTTTTTGGTAGTGACTGTTGCTTCGATCTGCCGCGGCCGACCCACGAAGACGATGATGACTCTCCGATTTACTCGAACCAGCGACGGACAGCAGCAGATGACCGGAAGCAGCTCCCTCCGGTCATCTTCTCCAACAGCGCGTGACCTCTTCAAGAACAGACCCGGACAGTGGCGGTCAGCGGCGGCTTCGCCACCAAGCAGCAGAGACAGAGATCGGTTTCCTCTGGCAATGACGCACAGCCTCAATAATTCTCCAATCGAACCCGAATTGCTTCAAACGTTCTACGGCGGTGAGGAACCACTTGTTTCGGCTCAGCCCCACAGGTGCAAGTATGGCCCGACGTAACCACGCCTCAAGGTGGAGGTCAGCTCATCACTCAAAGCCACAATGCCCACCGGAATCAGCACATGAAAAGGGTCCTGAACCTCACCGGAATCGCTCTCGGCTTCTTTCCCTCTCTCTCGGTTCTTCTCCAACTCACACCCCAGTCACGCCCTCACCTCTCTCTCTCTCTAACTCTCGATCTCTCTATATGTATTCACCCCAAAACCCACTCTAATATATCTATCAAACACTCACCCTAACAAACTCACTCAGGGTTAAAACAAAACCAGCAACCTAACAAATTGTGTTTAGAGTAAGGTGGATTTGGGCAAATGGATTGGGTTAGGATTAAAGGGTTGGGCTGATCCAGTGGGCCGGACTATGGAGTTGGCCAACTCATTTATTTATCGAGGGACTTGTCAGGTTAGGCCTCAAACGGCCAAAATTCTCAATAATCTCCACCTATTTTGGCCGTGATTTAACCAAATCCCAATACGTATTTACTAGATATAGACTTACCTAGCAGCAATGGATTTCATCATCGCCTTTTGTCCCTCGCTGCATCTACGAACAAACATTAATGCAGACAAAATATATCACACATAGAACACATAGATCCTCACATGCACCAAGATACATCACATAGCAACCTAGCACATAGAACACAAATACTATTGTTGATGTCGTTTTCAACCAACAATAAAAAGTAAAATCCAAAAATAAATTCGAATTTGACTACGATAATATCTGGAATTGAAGATCCCTAGATACCGTACAAAATGCAAGAAAAATAAAAGTAACAGATACTGAAAGATAAAAAGATGATCCCCAAAGTGAATTTCACTGAAATTGATGTTGATTGAAGATGTCCTTTGCCGGACGCGAGTTGCCTGTTATATGCCCTCCAAGTCAATTATCGGATCGTGTGCGCAGTTCGTTGTAACTGTCCTAAGGAACCCTCTTATGGTTGTAACTAACAAAAACCACCTCGCGGTTGCAACCGCCTGAAGAACCGTTCTTCAGTTACATTCTATGCTACCAACCGACCAGCCGACCAGACAGACTGTGGACAGACCAGCTGACCAGAGAGGCCACTGACTGACCAGCTGACCAGACAGACTATGGACAAACTAGCCGACTAGACTAGCTACTGATTGACCAGCCAACCAGACAGGCTATCGATTGGCCAACCGACCAGGCGGATTACCGACTGACCAACCGACCAACCAAGCTACTGACTGGCCAACCAACCAACCAAGCTACTGACTGGCCAACCAACCAACCAAGCTACCGACTGGCTGACCTTT